CATTTGTGAAATTTACTAGTAATTTTTGAGTGAAAATTCAAAGTAATTCTCTTTTCAATGTATATATATTCTGCATGAGAGCTATAAGCCAAAGATTGTATTTAAAGGAAAATTTATGATTCTATGTGTGTTTTTAGTGAAAAACCTTATTTTTTTATTAATTATTTTGAACTGGACTTTTATTTACTGTTTAGCCACAATGGTTAATCTGATCACACTTCTAAGAAATTTCAGAATAATATATTAAAATAAGATAATTTTTTTTGGTTTATGAGCTCATTTATGAGTAAGGATATCGTAATGGCATTTCTTGTTGAGTTAAAAACAGTCTTTCTGCTGTTTTTACTGTCCTCCATTCGCATTAGTTTCCTCTCTTACATCTCTCTCACTTTGGAAGCACTGTCTTTCCAGAGGCTTAAACATTAATTTTTAGCATTTGGAGTAGGTTTTATTTATTCTTGTTTGTAAATAAAATACTTTTTCTAGATATATTAAAATAAGTTACTACAATACTTCTATACTTTCCCGTTCTTCGAGCGATTGCATAGTACACATTGGTTTTGGCCTATTTTTGTGTGTGAGGATTTAGGCCAAATGTAATGGAAACTTACTGTTCCATGAGGCAGCATTAGATTGTGAAAATCCCTGTTGAATAGCAGAGCAGATCGCTGTAATGGAAGGAGATATGGCTGGAAGGAGGGATTGAGAGATAAAGAAATGGAGGGAGGGTACCATTTCTTGCTGTGTCCACTGTCCAGGTGTAATCCACCTGCCCGGGGCGAACCAGATGGCGAGGACTGCCGTAGTTCTTAAAGGAACAGTTCACCCCATTTGCTTAGTTTACTTTATTTAGTCTTAAGCTTAAGGGGTTAGTTCACCCAAAAAAGAAAATTCTGTCATTAATTACTCACCCTCATGTCATTCTAAACTCGTAAGACCTCCGTTCATCTTCGGAACACAAATTAAGATATTTTTGATGAGTTCTGAGAGCTCTCTGACCCTCCCATAGACAGCGATGTAATTACCACGATCAAGGTCCAGAAACGTAGCAAGGAGATCGGTAAAATAATCCATGTGACATCAGGGGTTCAACCGTAATTTTACGAAGCTACGAGAATACTTTTTATACTCAAAGAAAACAAAAATAACAACTTTATTCAACAATTCTTCTCCTCTGTGTCAACCTGGTACCATTTTGGAGAATATCCACTGAACGTAAACAGCGTATGCTATTCTGTGTCAGCTGCGTCGTTTTCTACGTTGTTTATGCTTTGATTTGAACGAAAACAACGTATCCGCATGGCACAGCTGACACAAAACAGCATACGCTGTTTGCGTTCAGTGGATACTCTCCCAAATGGCGCTACGGTGACACGGAGGAGACGAATTGTTGAATAAAGTCGTTATTTTTGTTTTCTTTGCGTACAAAAAGTATTCTCGTAGCTTCGTAAAATTATGGTTGAACCCCTGATGTCACATGGATTATTTTACCGTTCTCCTTGCTTCGTTTCTGAACCTTGATTGTGGTAATTACATTACTGTCTGTGGGAGGGTCAGAGAGCTCTCAGAATTAATCAGAAATATCTTAATTTGTGTTCCGAAGATGAACGGAGATCTTACGGGTTTAGAATGACATGAGGGTGAGTAATTAATGACAGAATTTTCTTTTTTGGGTGAACTAACCCTTTAAGTATGCTTTTTTTGGCTGTAACTTTAAAACATTTCAGAATGAAAGTGTGTGTACAAATTTCGTAGTGTGCTGTTGGTCCCTAAGTGACAGTTTCAACTCTGCCCCGCCTCTCACACATGTACATTCCCATTAGGGCTGCACAATTATGACAAAAATCATAATTGTCGATTATTCCCTAGCCTTCAAACGTCAAATATACAGGGGATTGGTTACTTCTTTAAATTATAAAAAAGTACAAATATGAATGGTATTATAATGTTATAATAAAACTAGAATTAAAATAATGGCAAAAACCCTTAAGATAACATGTAGAAAGAAAAAAACGGATCTTAAGCACGCAGAATAACATAACATAACTTTGAACGATTAATTGCCGCTTTGAACGATTACGTAATTGTGGCATCCATAATTGTAATCGCGATTAGAAATTCGATTAATTGTGCAGCCCTAATTCCCATTATTTCTAAATGACTCTCTCTAGAGTCTAGTTGTCCAGATCTCCTTGGATCTGCCCTGTTTAGCTGAAGCGTTGTGCCTTGTGCGTTGTTCTGTCTTGCTCTCATCGCAATGAATATATGTTTTTGTCATGCTACACTTGCTGCTCTGCTGATTTGAGCAGTTAAAATGGCAAATCTGGAGTTGTAGGTTTGTGTAGAAGCTTGTTGTGTTTGTGTATATTAGGAGGTTTTGATTAGTGTTACTGTATTTTCATCTCACAATTTCTAGCCCTGTGTAACAATATTGATGCTACATGTGAACAAACATGTAAGATTGCCCTTTAGAATCTGAAAACCATCCAGAATAAAAAATATAAAAATCATAATATATAAATGTAAATTGTGAATACACACACACGCGCACATATGTCATATCTACATTTTATAAACTGGGACGATTAAGGCATAAAAAGTCTGTTACATAAGTGAGATAAGTGCAGGCATTTAAAACATGTCTCAGCTTCAGGGAATGTGACGGGGTTAGACATGCCCACTGCTTTAATGATTTGGCTTCCGTTCATCAGCAGCAGAGGAAGGAGATCTGCGGTCTCGCTGCCCCCTCTGCATCTTATCTCCGTTCTCTACTTGAGTCTATCACAGCTTCTGCAAATGGTTCCTCCATGAGACTGGACTGTTGATTCTTTACTCTTTCTATGTATCATGTTCTGTATAACATGTTTGTGTATGTGTTTGACAGTCCATTTCCAGAGCAAAGTTTCAGTCTGAAGGGAGTCTGCGGTCAACATACTTCACTTTGGGTTCATTTTCATGTAGATTTAGTCCATTGAGACACATTGTGGCTCTGATGTTAGATTCTTTCCTGAGAGAGTGTGGGTACGTTGGGCATGATCACGGCCTCACTGAGCTTTTTCCTGGCTTTTGGGATGGACCAAAACCTGGCTCCAGTGTCCATTCGCTTCTCAATAAATTACCCTTAAGCTGCATTTGTGGCAAATATTAAGGGTTTCTAATCTAAAACTCAAAAACCAGACGAATTGAACAGTCTGTACTCTGTACCACTTCCCTTTGCTTTAAAAAGAGTTGTATTTAGTGATAAAATAGCATTTATAAAAGAGATCACGTATGAGACCCATGTGACCCAGTATTGCTACAAAACAAAGATGTGTTTTACAAGAGACAATGAAGTATTTCATCAGGGATAAACACACAAGACAAAAGGCAGCTGCCGCTCGTGGCTGGACTCAAATAAACAGTTCTTCTCTCTGTACGAGCACATAGCTGTGTTCATGTGTGATTAGAGATTTGGTTTCACAACCCGTCAATGGCTTTGTATTGATTAATACAGCAATAGCTGAGGCATTAATATATTTGTATTAGTATTTTTTTCCGTCTGTAATGTAGCACATAATGTCTGCCATGGTTCAACCGCAGGTGTTACACATACATCCAGGTGTTATACTGAAGTAATCCGCCAGTAATGAGGTGCCACAGTCTCTGTGAAAACCTCATGAGACTTCAATCAAGCAAGAAGTTTTTTTTCAGGTTACACGATCAGTTTAAAGAAAGTTAAGACAAAAAACACTTACGTTAAAAAATGTTCTAAGTCTACTACCATTCAACCGTTTAAGGTCTCTTATGCTCATCAAGGTTACATTTATTTGATCAAAAATACAGTAAAAACAGTAATATAGGGGAATATTATTTCCATTTAAAATTACTTTTTTCTATTTGAATATATTTTCAAATGTAATTTATTCCTGTGCTGCAAAGCTGAATTTTCAGCATTATTACTCCAGTCTTCAGTGTCACATGATCCTTCAGAAATCATTCTAAAATGATGATTTGCTTCTTAATAAACATTTCTTCTTCTTATTATTATTATTATCAATGTTGAAAACAGTTGGTATTTTTGTGGAAATAATTTTGTGGATATGTTTTTTTCAGGATTCTAATGAATCAAAAGTTCAGTTAGACATGTATTTAAAATAAATATTTTATAACAAAAATGTTCGTAACATTTTACTAAGAGCCTTTATGTATAATGCATTATAAAGGATCATTAAAGGGTAAAACGTATTATAATTAATCATAATGTGCATTGTAATGCATTATATCTTGTTGTAAATAATTATAATCAAATTTAAAATGCATAGTGTAACAATGAATTGATAAGTGTTATAATAACTGTGGTCACAATTATTCATGAGATTGTACAATGCATTATAAGGTGCATTACAAGGCATAATTAATGCAGTGCATTATACAAAAAGGCTTTAAGTAAAGTGTTACCAAAATGTCTTTACTCTCACCTTGGTTCCACTTAAAGCATCCTTGCTAATGCTGAATAAAGTATTAATTTACTTCAAAACAAAAAATCTCACTGACTCAACTTTTGAATGGTAGTGTTCATGCCTCTTAGCACTTGATTACCCTCAGAGATTCAGAATGCAGACTGTTGTGTCATTCATACTCATAAAATAAGCTTGCATGATATCAGTAGCTCAGCTACTATGTATATGAAACCTGTCAAATGTTAAAGCAAGTTGCCACTGATAAAGAAGGCAGAGGAAAGGACTGTGTGGAGGAGAGACAGAGGTAGAGCTGAGAGTGCAGTATAGGTATTGGACAGGAGCCACAGAGCTAAAGTAAATACAGTGTGGCATGTGAGTGACCTACATAGAGCCCAGTGAAGGAGGTTAAAGTGTACAGTGTGCCAGACCTGTTCATTAGTCTATTATTTCCTCTCTGAGAAGAGCGCAAGGTAGCAGACGCCAGGGAAAACTCTGCTATCTCAATGAAAATGTGACAGGAATGGTTTTAACTCTTGATCTCTCTCTCTCTCTCTGTTGCAGGAATATAACATGACCAGATTAAACGGATAAAACCAGGCACTCTTCAACACATGGTGAAAATGAAACATCTGCATCTTTGAATGCTTAAAATAAGCCAAAAGTAGATCACAGACCCTTCAAGATTTACAAAAATCATCTTATCGGTCCATATTGTCATTTTCTCTTCACTCTTGCCCTTCTCCGGTCAAAACCACCATGTATGGTAGTGCCCGATCCGTGGGCAAAGTGGAGGGCAACCACAGCGGCGGGAGCAATCAGAGTCCCGGCCGCTCGCCCCGTCTCCCTCGCTCGCCCCATCTGGGCTACCGCCGCACCAACAGCACAGGGGGCAGTGGAGCCGGAGGTCCAGGTGGTAAAACCCTTTCCATGGAGAACATCCAGTCTCTCAATGCTGCCTACGCCACATCCGGCCCCATGTACCTGAGCGACAACGAGGTGGTGGCGTCTGGCCCGGACCTGCCGAAGAGCACCATGACGCTGGGCCGCTCGGGAGGACGGGTGCCTTACGGCGTGCGCACCACAGTCATGGGATCCAGCCCAAACATCTCCACTGGGGCTCCCGGATCCGTTCCCACTGATGCCATTGCTTTTGGAGACCACCATATGCCTTCCACCCTGGCGTCCACTGTGCCTCATTCGCTGCGCCAGGCGCGGGACAACACCATCATTGACCTGCAGGCCCAGCTCAAGGAGGTGCTCAGGGAGAACGAGCTCCTGCGGAAGGAGGTGGATGTGAAGGAGAGCAAACTCAGTTCCTCCATGAACTCCATTAAGACCTTCTGGAGCCCGGAGCTGAAAAAGGAGCGCACCCTGCGCAAGGACGAGGTGTCAAAGATTGCCGTGTGGAAAGAGCAGTACAGAGTCGTACAGGATGAGAACCAGGTGAGAGGAGGATCAAATGGATTTAAAGTCATATTTACAATGCATTTAACTTCTGTAATATTATACATATCTCAGAGTGAATCAGAATATTTGGCAGGGAATAATGTAGCCTCAGTTTTGATGACTTTTATGCTTTCACCTTATTTAAAAAAACAATATTGTTTGGGATGCATTGATATTATAATTCTGGCTTATAAGACAATTTTATTTTCAAGCTATGGCAAGTAAATATTTTACAAATAAACCATTAAAATTTAAAATCTTTTCATTTTAAAAATGAATATTCATTTTGAGATTTGCTAAAGATTACATTTAACAGTGTTCTTAAATTAGTGTTTTTAAATGAAAACATTTAAGTAAGCCTTAGATGTTGACAGTGGAGATGAGCATGAACAACTAAATATACATTATATTACATTCAAATGTAGAAATTTACATTTATGCATGGTTCGCAAGTGAAAGTTTATAATAAGAATTGCAAAAATGTTCTATTTCAAGTAAATGCTGTTCTTTTGAACTTTGTATTCATCAAAGAATCCTGGAAAATTGATTTCCACAAAAATATTAAGCAGCACGATTGTTTACAACATTGATAATAAGAAATGTTTCGTGAGCAGCAAATCAGCATATTACAATGATTTCTGAAGGATCATGTGACACTTAAGACTGGAGTAATGATGCAGAAAATTCAGTTTTCACTAGAAAAAAATACATTTTAAATGCATTAAAATTTAAACTGAAAATTTTAAAATGTGTATTTTTAAATTGGAATATTTCACAATATTACTGTTTTCACTGTATTTTTTGATCAAATAAATGCAGCCTTGGTGAGCATAAATGACTACTTTGAAAACATGAAAAAAGTTACAAAAGTCTATCTCTCTTTTTTGTCTTAGTCAGATGTTGGTCAGTTAAGTGTTTGAATATGGTTTCTCTTCTCTTCTGTAAGCTATAATATTCTGGTCTTTTTAGTGCAGTGTTCAGTAGCCAAAGGGCTTCATCTGCTAAAACGCTATAATATGAAATGGTGCACCTGGCACTGAGAAAAAAACAACAAAAAAACGTATTACTTGCAGATTGGATCTGATTACTGAAGAACATTGGTACAAGGCATGTTTAAGAAATGGCTCTATTTGTCTTTTAGTGTTGTTTTCAGAAATGGCTTGCCGAGAGCCTTCAAACATCTAGAACGAAGCTGAATCAAAGCGGTTTGTTTGATTCATACTGGCAGGTGTTACGATAAAAACTCCAGACAAGTGGATCTTTTTTGTTTTTGCATAAAATGGACAATGGTTCAGCAAAGTCTATATGACTTTCTATATGAATTTCCTTTCAGTATGACACTTATTGTAGACTAATTAAGCTTTTTAAAACATCCATTTCTCCTCTGCAGGCCGTAGTTTAACACACGTCCATCCTGACATTTCCCGTTTTATTCTCCTTCATTCGTGCTGGATTTTAGCTCTGGTGTAAGCTGTAATTTTGCATTTTCCCATGTATTTTTAGGGTCTGCAGGCAGTCTACAGCATGTAGCAGACTACAGCATAGACATGGCATAGACATGAACTATTATCGTTATACCACCACCTCTTTTCAACAGGAAGATGTTTTTATGTATTTAGTCTACTCTACGTGATTTTCACTGTTGACATCTGGCAAAGAATTGCCAACTTAAGGAAAGACCTTCTGTATGTCGCCGTGTCTGTAGAGTTAACTTTGAACTCAGCTGGATGTCAGAGACCTTTAACACTCATATGGTCTTATTGCACGTGACTCTGGTCCTGCGTTGCTTCTGCCTTGGCTGAACCGTGAGGCTAATGAGGGGCTTGTCGTCATTGCCTTTGATGCCTTTCATTCACGCCGCCTGTTTGATGAAGGCTCGGGTGATGTTTTTGGGTAAGGACGAGTGGGTTTAACCCATATGACACCCCACTTGGTCTGCTTCGTACAGTGAGCTGGAGTACTTGACTGATGAAGTCGGTTTCTGTCATGATGGGTTTATCTAGATAAACTAGATCAATATTCAAAAGACCCTTGATCAGTTAAATTAACAAGTCATATTCTCAGGAGAGAGAGGCATTCAAAGGAGGGATAAAGGAGCAGGAATGAGTGGAATGAGGCTTGAATACTCCTTTGAGACCTGTTCAATTATGAGATGTGACACAACAAACCCCTTTAGTCAGCCAACTCTCATTCATTCACCTCCTCTGCTCGTATCTCGCTCCATTCATTCAGCCCACATGCTAGTTCACTGGATTTGTGAGCACGCTTTCTCTCTCTTCAGTTTAGGGATGCATGAGTAATAAAATTCTGGCTGATATGATAAGCAATAATTATTAATAATTGTTTTACGTTAGATGATGACAAAGGTAATCTAAATGTAAAAATATCGGAAATGAGCATTCACAATTAAATATATTGTGCCAAAATATATATATAATATATAGCCAAAAAAAAAAAAAAAAAATATATATATATAATATTTATGATTAATTTTATACAATAGGAATAGAAAACAGTAAATTGCAATAAGCTTTCACTGTTTTTTACGGTATTTTTGATCAAATGAATGATCAGTTGATCAATTAAAAATTGGGGAAATGAGCGTGCACACTTAAATATGTGATTTATATAGCCAAAATGTATGTAATATTTATTAATTAAAAATGAATAGAAATATAAAAAATATTCTAAATTGCAATGTTTCACAATATTTTACAGTATTTTTTCCTCAAAGCATCAATTGAGCAATTAAAAAATGCACAATGCACAATTAAATATGAGATTATATAACCAACATATATGTATTATCTACTAATAATTTAAAAAAGTACAGATTATACTGTCATGCATCTCTATTTCCTACAGTGTACTGGGAATGTCACTTTTTCTGTAATAATTTTTTTCATTTTTATTTGTGATGTGCATAAATGTGAACATGTTTTGTTTATTTGGATTCAAATGAACCTTATTTACTTCCTTAAAAGTCGTTTTCTTCCAGTGCATTGTGAACATCTGCCGTGACATTCCCCGCACTAGCAAGTATGTTTACATGAGCGCATCCTTTCAGACAGAGCAACCGAGCCAATCGGGTGTCCATCCATGTGTGTTTTTCGTAAGCGTGCGTCTCTGCCCTCTGAGGAAGCGGGAACAGATGGCAGACGCGGCTCCTGATGCGCTTATTGTAGTAGTGTTGTAAAAGGGCCAAAGATTCGCACCCCAATCCCACAATCTCCTTATCAAGTAGTGTCACTTTTCACAGCCAAGTTCCGCCCACACTAATATTCACCGTTCCGGTCAGACTGTTTGTTCCTAATCCCAAATGTTTGATTCACATAGTCAGATGAGATGAGAACAGATAATGTAGGGGTTTGTTTGCTGTGTCATTTCAGTAAATGTAACCTAGATGGGTAGCAGATGGTCAAGGGTGGAGTCTCGCTCAGATGGAAATAAACATCACATGTTGAGCTGAATGACTAAGAACCATGAAAATATCTCACATGGTTTTCTTGCACAGTACTTCCTGTTGTCCTGCTTGGCATGATAAAGGTTTGAAGGCTGTATTTACTCATTATGTAATAGATAATCAGCTCATTACTCACAGCAGAATGACTGTGTCATACAATATGCTGTGTTTACACTTTAGAATCATAATGGAGCTGGACTGTAAACACCATAGACTTTGAGGTGGATCTGTCCCTGTATTCTGGTTAGGGAGCACTGGCTGTTGTCAGACTCCTTGTGCAAACAAAAATCTCACCGGATTATTACAATTAATGGAAAAATGAATGTTTGGAAATGTATATTGATATTTCCTACTGACACACTACAGCAAGAGATAGAAATAACTGACTAATAACCATTTTTTAGCTGGTGAAAATACTAGTGTTCTAATAATTTTGGCCACCACTGTTTTTGCTTGTGAACAATAAAACAGATTTCTGTGATTTGCCATATCAAGAGACCTGCATATCATAGGTATGCTCTTTCGACTTTGGTCAGTAAACAACCACCTAGCAACCAAGAACACCCTAGCAACCACATACCGACATGCTAAAAATGAACAAAGCTACGCCCTGACAACCACTCACATCACATTGACATCATGACATCTAAAAATCTAGTTTGTCTCTGCAAGAACTGTCTGGATTTTATTTTAGGTCTCTTAAAGAACTCAAGTTTGAAAATAAACCATCTTCAAGTCTGTAAAACCACCAAGATAATGAGGAACAAAATGTCCTGTTGGGCTTTCTTTGTTTCCTCGCTTACTCTTGTTTTATTTCCCAAGCAGTCTGTGCTGATTAAGGAAAGACTTGCAATATTTGGGTCGTGTTATTTCTGCCATCTCATGAGCAATGTAGTAAAAGTGTGGAAGAAAGAATGTAGGGGCGACAGATCATATTTTTATCCGTTCTCACCACGGGACTGTGAGCCGCTGCTCTTTGGCAGACGCGGCGGCCCTTATATGGAGTCTGGTCATGCAGGATAGGTGTGGAATGAACAGAATCCTTGCATATGGTTACACAGACCTCCTCTTCGTCTCCTCTGCTCCACTGTCCCGCTCTTCCTCACTTGGTATAGTTCACGTAGGGAAAACACTGAGAAAGTTGGAGTAAGAGAGGCATTGATGTGAAGAGATCGGAGGTGGTATTTAGATGTTGCTTGTAGCTCTAAAGGGTCCATGACATGAAAAAAATGGTTTGCTGTACTACATGCTCTGAACTTTTAAGCCTTGTGTTTTGGATCTCTGCTGCTTTGGATGCTGCGTGTGGCTAGTAGAAGGGAGTGGGAATGAGCAGGTTTGCTTTGTCCACTACTACCGTACTTCCCAAAACCCCACTGACTGTGCAGATGGCCCCTCTGACACGCTGCATTAAGATTAAGCCCTTGTGATCAGCTCCATTCTTCCTGTCAGTCAGCAGAAGTCCCGCCCACCTTCAAGGTGTTTATACTGTACCTACATGTTTATCTGTATGTGGATATATCTGACAGAACCTAAG